GGCGACATGTGGGACGAAGAGTGGAAATTAAAAAAAAAACGACACGGATTGCACCCTCTCAATTAACCGAATTGATTTTCCGCTGCAAATTCAGCGTGCACCCTGCACAAACGTGAACAACGGCCCGCACAGCGAAATGGACTTTTCGCGGGTAATCGATGTCATCCAACATTCATAAAAAATTACGTTCTATCCGGTAAAACTCGCGCAATCGTTCTGTAAATCGACTTTACGCGCCGGTTAATCTCACCGATCTTGATGTTGCATCGCTTGCATCGCAAGGTATTTCGGATAAAAGTTAAGTAATCTTCAATTAGAAGTGTAATAAAGGCTTTAGAACGAATTTTGCAACACATCGTATCGTTTTTGTAACATTCACAGAGAATTAAATATTGTATTCTAGATTGCTATGAGTTTTGACAAAATTAAAAAGATTAAAAATACATAGGTATTATGAAAGAAAATTGTGATAGAAGACTCCGAAAATTGTGTAATGAATATGCATTATAACTTGGCTACATTCCCCAAATCTCTTCAACTTTAGCTCGTGAAAATTCAGATTGTTTTAATAATCGAATTATCAATAAAAGTACAGAAATTTTAATGGTGTTTACCCCGTGCATTTCTATTTACATTATAGTTACTTAACATTTTGTTAATTACGAAGAACTTTCTTTAACGAATTTGTCTATTAATTATCTTGTACATAATAAATTTTATTAGCATATTAACAGATAAAATTAGTTGCATAAAGAATTAATTGCTTTTATACTAAAATTGTATAGAAGTAGATTGCTTATATAACGAATAATTGTATTACTTTTTTGCTTTATTAATTTTTCTGTCTCATATTTATTATATAATTTAGTTGAGCTATTACCGACAACTCGCGCAGTGAAAAAATTTATAGTAATTAAATTCATTTATTAAAACATTTGGCGCACCTTTTTATTGTTTTTGTAAATTTAATTTACATTACTTATACATAAGTATTTAATTTTTAAGACAGATGCCTTGCTAGACAACTTTAACTTTTAAACATCATAAATTGTAAATAAAAATTGTAATAAAGCAGAATTTTATGTAAAACTAACTGAGGCTTAATACTTTTATGATCTATTTGTAATTCCATGGTTTTCTTACGCAATCCAAGGCGAGCTTTTCATTTTCAACTATTTCCAAGTTAGGAATACACTATTGATGTATACACATCGACAATTTCATTAAACAAAATTCGCCTGCAAATTGATCGAAAAATCCGTAGGTAATAGGAACAGCGGCTTTTCAGGATACTCACCCCGCGTATTTCGAAGCGAACACACGAAGGGCGTAAACAACGTCGAGAGCAAAATGTAACCCGTGATTTTCGGTCGCACCGTCGGCTAAATTCTTTATTGCTCGCATCGTTACGCGGGCGGCGCTTCATTCCGGTCGACCGGCACTCGTAGTGACTCCTCCATTACGGATTTATGAACGAAATTGAAAATCCCCGTGCTCTCGTGGGAACGAGGGTGAGAAAGAGGGAGAGAGTGCGAGACAAATGGGCGCGGGGGTGAATTGGTGTGGGACTGGATGATGGTGGTGGCGGTGGGCATGGCAATTTTCCGAACGTCACGGCAACGAACCACCTCTCGTTCGCCTCGTCAGCGATTTTCGGTCGGGCGCTGATTAAAACGACGGCTTTCCGATAAAAGCGCGCCGAATTCCCGCGAATTTCTGTTGCAACCGGATTCGCCGCCGCCGCCGCCGCCGCCGCCGCTGCTGTTGTTTCTGCAATCAACTGCACTGCACGATCGCGATCGCGATCGATTTCATCGTATGCGGTGCGACGCGCGATGAACGAGGGATTGGGGAAAAAAAAATATCAGGGGGAGGTGGAATAGGGAGAAAAAAAGGGACGCCGGTAATCGCGCGTCCGGGGCCGGTAAATTGATTCGCATCATTGAGAATGTTACGAATTTATCCGCTGACTGTTGATTGATATCGCGAGTCCCGAATATCTCGAATTTTTTTATTTTTCGAGCCACATTGCGTTTGTCCTTCCACGAAGTGAATAATTATAATTTAAAAAAAATGCGCACTACGATTCACAGTAATATTGCGATTCAAAAATACTGGTAGGCTGATCTATGTATAAATTTTTGTATTAAACATTTTCACAACTTTGTTTTAATTTTATATACATATCTCATTATTCGCCATTTTATATTTTTACAAGAAACGTGCATCTATATTAATTATTTTGAAAAAATTAATTTAATTTTTTTTTTTTAGCAATTCGAAGTCGATTTATCTTAATCTTAATCAATTTGTTAAGGTACTGTAGTCACCTTTATTACTAGAGATTTCTTACACACAGTACTCTACAATTTTCGTTCTTACGACCGCTCCTTTTGTGCGTGTCCCTCGTGCCTCTCTTCTCTCCGCCATCATGTCCTTCCTCATTCCTCGTCTCTCTCTCTAGCCTCTATCTATGTCGGTAAACTAGAACCCTCAGTGGCCCACAGTACCAATAATGTTTTTTACTTTAATTCAACGAGTTTTTGTTTTCTTAGAATATAACATACGTGTATTCACAGTTTAATTATACAAATACAGAAAATTATAAAGTAAAAATATGAATACTAAGAAATTTGGTTTTTGTCAAAATACTTTTGAAAGAGGAATCTGTTCTGAGTTAAAGAATTAATGTCTAAAGATTGCTCAGTCTCCTGAGACACGTATTAATGCATTTAAAGAAAAAGATAGACATAGTGATGACAACTGTACAAGTATTATACGTGGAATTAATGTAGTTGAATAAACTACTTTATAGTTATTACAACTAAAGCTAAATGATTACAAAAACAAATTCTACATATATAAGGGGATCATATATTGATAATATGATACCATATCGTCTGGCATTGCGTGATAATCGGTCTGGAAATTTGTCAGGATCATGCCGCCAAGGAGAAGGCGCTCCAAACAATGTCAAGCATGTCAAGCGCCCAAATAGTATCAGCTGGAAGCGCGATACACAACAAGATGCCCCTCATGGGCGGGACCCTTGCCCTTCATGCTTCCACCCCTGTCTCCTATCCCGGAGCGGTAAGTCCTGATCTCGGAGAACCCCTTGAGACATTTTTTTTTTATCGGTCTTTCTCTTAAAAAGAGCCACGAGCTTTAGGGTGAGACGACTCTATAAAATGCGAATTAATTAAGTTAATCACTGCATTGGTGATTTCGCTTGACGAACCGCTTTTAAGTAAAACAAGCGGCCTCAATCTCTCTCGCTTTTATAATTGTTGCATTGACTCTTAAATTATGAATTTTCTTCGATCGATTTTTACATATAAAACGCTGTATTCCTTATTGTTGTCAAAGATCAATTTTACATAAATTTTCAGTGAAATTTTCCAGGCAAATGAAGACGACTTTTAGAATAGTTTATTTTCAAAAATTATGTACGGATTTTTTCTTTAAATAAAATTAAACCTCAGGCGATGAAAGAATTTGTATAAACGATAAATGTTGGTTGTTTAAATGTAAAGGCTAAAATGGAATTTATATGTGTAATATAGTGACTGTTATACATATAATATAATTTTAAAACGAAATAGCAATCGATTTCCGATTTATATTGATTTATATGATATCATTCGTATAATATCAATAGATTGAAAGCCTCGCAAGAAAGTGTCGTCATAAAATGTCGTCTTTGACGAATTTTACTTTTATTATCAGTATTGCCGATTTAGCTTCTTCTTTTAAAGTTTGTATAAACTATTTTCAAGCGCTTTGCTCGATAACCGCTAATCCGTGTATTGAAGGCGATGCCGTGATTTGTCGACTGACTTATAAATTGTTTTGTTTTACGAGAGTTTGAGATAATACTGTGTAATTAAAATGTCATTCCGGAAATATTACGAATGATACTAAAACTTAACAACATTGTACTGAGAAATAATGTGCATTCGCAATTAATGAATTGTTTGATCTCAGTAAAAATATTCAGCCTTTTGCACACCAATATAATATATTATAATTTAAATTTTTCTCCGACCATTGTTAAACATATCAAAGATATGTTTGATGTTGAAATAAAATGATCCATTTGCGAACAATGACAATTATTTGTTCAACATTGAAAAAATTGTTTTCGTATCTTTAAATTGACTTGACTGTGTTGCATTTATACTGAAAAAAGTCTGTAATAGCTATACCAAATGTTGAGTGAAATAATGTCAATCAAATGTTAATATAATAAAAAATAATTTTACTTTTATAAATATTTAATAAATATTATCAAACATAATAATATAACCAACTGTTTGATAATTCTTATTAAATATTTAAGAAAGTAAAATTATTACATTAACAGAACATTTGATTGGTATTATTTCATTCAACATTTGGTAACTATTACCAGATTGTTTTCTGTGTATCTTGCGTTTTGTACAAAAAAAAGGAGATAAAATAATATTAACTAATTAGAGGCGGTGAATAGTGTTCCCTTTGTTTCTTTAACTAGGTTTTTCGCTTTTTTGCTGTCATGTTTTGTTCTTTTGTGCTCTTTTCGCATCTAATTATGAAACGAGAACGAGGAAAATAGCAAGAGAAAGCTATTTCCGTGATCAATCGTGTACTTTCTTTTCTTCATGGCGCGAAAGCTTTTGCGTTGAAAACTAACCATCCCTCGCAAAAGTGACATCTCCCCTGGCTCTCTGCTGTTGCGCTGCCCCTGGGGGCCCTTGTTGTGTATTGTTGAATTTGTCCATCGCTCTAATCTTGTACATACATATTCCTAAGCATTACATATCTGTATACGATACGTATACACACAAATTAAGTATATGTATGCGTTACATTTGACATATCTGCATAATAAAAAATGTTCGTTGTGGCTTATCAAACTGTCTTTCTTTCTTTTTACGTAATAATACGATCATTAGCTTTTTGTTGTTATTGTCGTTGTTGTTCTCTTTTATTTGTGTTTATTCATTTTGTTTCCTATCGCTCGTTTCTCGCCCGACGGCTCGATGGCTTTTACGGAATGTTTTGTAAACATTTTTTTTCACTGAAACAGTTATAATATTGTATTATATAAAGATTTACGTAATACAATCAATTATATTCGGAAAAATTTTGAAAATGCAGGTTGAAAGTTTTATCCATAGTTTAAGAGAAACGGATATATCAATTTTTTTTGCTTAAAATTATCAACTTTTAATTCATTTTTTAAATAGTATTTATAGTTATATGATTATAGTATGTACAATCGTGTTGTTATGCAAATTTGACTATTATGTAACTAAAGCGTCACTTATTCATTACATAGCAATGAGCTAGTCATTATTAATAAACATCAAGCGTACGAAAATTGACTAATTGTTATAATTGTTAATGTGAGAGTATCACTATTAAATACAAATTCGTGCTATACTTTCAGCAATTTTGGCAGCCAGGCCTGCAACCTGGAACGTCCCAGGATGTCAAACCCTTCCCTCAGCCTGCCTATACCGGAAAACCGGCGACAGCGGTTTCGAGCGGTGATTTGGTCCAAGCGCAGCCTGCACCACCATGGGAAGGACGTGCTATCGCGACTCACAAGCTCAGGCTTGTCGAGTTTTCGGCCTACATGGAACAACAAAGAGAACAGGAGATTGTAAGTAGCATCGTAATTATTAATTGAGAAGATATCATGATAGTCCAAATGTACATTACTTCTTATATTGCAAAAGTGTTCGTATACCTTTAAGAAATTTTTTAATGATAAAATCTAGTATGTTCATATTTTATTGGTGTCTGATAAAAAAAATGTAAACAAAACTTCACGAAAATGATTAAGTACATCTTAAGTATATATAACTTGCAAGATATTTAAAGCATCATTATGGATGATTCTTCACTTAATTTCAAATAGTAGAAATTAAAAATTGTCACACTGATATAATCGGAATTACCAACTATTGATTATATTGATATAGCAGAATGATAATCACAGAAGATTTTAACATGGCAAATATAATTTTATAAATATCGTGTCTGAATAATTAGCTGTTAATGATAAAGGCTGATTTGCGTAGATAGCAAAGAACGAAAAAGTCGAAGAACCTCTAAAGATTTATTTTCTTGGATAAATAAAGACGATATACAAATAAACAAAGCACATTGATGAATTTATTCGTTTACGTATATAAAAATTTCTTTTTTTTTTTAGTACCACAAACACTTGTTCGTCCATATAGGAGGTTCCGCGACATACGCCGATCCGCTATTAGAAGCAGTCGACGTTAAACAGATATATGACAAATTCCCGGAAAAGAAGGGCGGTCTTAAAGAGCTTTACGATAAAGGACCGCAAGCGGCTTTCTTCCTTGTTAAGTTTTGGGCTGATCTCAATAGTAACATCCAAGACGAAAGTGGAGTATTCTACGGCGTCACGAGCCAGTGAGTAACGTCAGCTTTTTGATTACTTAACTCTAGTTTGATATAATATGTATATTGTATTTTCTATTAACAGATACGAGAGCAACGAGAACATGACGATAACGTGTTCGACGAAAGTATGCTCCTTCGGAAAGCAGGTAGTAGAGAAGGTAGAAACGGAGTACGCCAGGTTTGAGAATGGCAGGTTCGTTTACCGTATTAGCCGTTCACCTATGTGCGAATATATGATTAATTTCATCCACAAACTGAAGCACCTACCAGAAAAGTACATGATGAATAGCGTTCTTGAAAATTTCACCATTCTTCAGGTATGTTGATATTCATGTGTCAATTTTTATATATTTTATAAATAATTTTTTTATGTTCATTCTTGAATTGAAATTTAAGGATCATTTCAAATGCCTAATCAGCTCAAAAATTATTTATTTAAGAAAAATTATATTTTGAGTTAATCTTATTAATTCTAAACTGATTTGTTTAGATTTCACGATTACATTACAAGTTCTATTAGGATATTGTTGTATTTTTTCTTTGTATGTACAAAAAATTAGTTACAAATAATTAGTATTATAGATGTTATAAAGGTATATATTTTCTTACTTTTACCTTTTCTCTATTCAGGTTGTCACGAACAGGGATACGCAGGAAACATTATTATGTACGGCATATGTGTTCGAAGTATCAACATCTGAACATGGTGCTCAGCATCACATATACAGATTGGTCCAAGACTAGCCTGCTTGAACCTGCTCGCCATGCAGCCATCCACCCCCATCAGTGCCTACCATCACATAAAGATCATCCATACACATATACACACATAATTACATTGTGAAAATACAATATATGTATACAGCCGAGTTCCTCTATTCCAGTGCTCGGAATTAGTTGCACATTTCGGGTTGATTTTTAAGGCTACGCCTATTGTTTCCTCACTACCACTCGAGACTTGACACGTATCCCTGAGGCACAGCGTCACGTGAGCGGCGGCTTCAAATGGTATCAATGGATCGCCGAGTCTCAAATGGTAGTGGGGAGACAATAGGTGTCGTCTCAGAAATCGGCCCAAAATATGGAATTAATTCCGAGCACTGCTCTATTCTAAAGTTATTGGAATCGAGCGATGTCGAGCATTTCCTCTAATCTTCCCTTTAGTTCTCATTCTTATTCTAAATGACGCGAACAGATTGGAAATGTTATACACTATATTTTTTCTCATTGTATTATTGTATTAAATATGATATTATTGACATGGAAATGTCAATAATATCATATTTATGAAAATTGGGAAACAGCAAGTAATAAAGAGAAAGGTAATTGTTCACTTTAGGGGACTCAGCTCCGATGACCTTGACCTTGATATGTTGTCAAGGTCATGATTCTGAGCAACTTTGCCTTAACAACTAGGTGGCGGACTCTTATAATTTTTGAGATATTCAGACTCAATAGTCTGAACTATTGTATACTACCAATAGTTCCAATAGTTAATACGTGTGAATACAGTAGGTTCGACTTTCTACGCGAAGCGACAGCTGCCATACACTATTAAATGAGTTGGGTTAAGTTATTTTTAATAGAAATGGAGCCCCCCCACAGGGGGGGGGGGGCGGAACCTACTGTTATTCACGTGTACACTTTACAACATAAAACGACATAGAAGTTGCGAGCTCATTCGCAGAAGAAGAGGTGGAGTAAGAGTTGCTTCGCAACAGTAGGTTTCACTACTGTTAAAACGATGCTTAATATCTCAAAAACAACACGACCGCCACCTAATTGTTACGGCAAAGTTGCTCAGAATCATGACTTTGACAACATATGTCAAGGTCATCGGAGCTGGGTCCCCTAAAGTGAACAATTACTGAGAGAAATTTAGTTTACAGGAAATCAGCTGATTTAGAATAGAATACTTAGAATAGAGGAATTTGATTGCGCGATATGTTGCGTGAATATGTAGGTGTAAACATGCTTACACTTATACAAAAATATTTTCGCGTCCATAGGAGAGTTTCGATGGAAAATATTCGGTCGATGACATGAAAATGATAGATCATTCTATAAACAGGTGTAAATATTGAGTAAATAATAGATGTTATAATAAAACATCCTCTATGTATAATTATAATATTGCATTGCATACGTTTTTCTTTTTTTCTTTTATAAATTTTTGTTTGTAAATTTTTTTTACAAACAAAACGTAACATACTAATTTCATAAATTGAATTTTATAAAGAATATGTTTTTTTTCTCATTTTAAAGAATTAGTTGTAGAGAAATATTAGAGAATAAAAGAAACACAAATTGCGCGATATTTCAAGAACCGGCTGTGCATGCTAAGAAATTAAATTAAAGATGAAAAATTCTAAGTATTATATAATAAATATTAGAAATATCCCAAAAAGTTTAATTTCTATCCTCGAATACGAGTATTTTGTAACGTAAAATAAATGGTATATGTTGCGAACGTTTTCCGTGAAACTCCTTAACAAGGACTCTACACACATATGTACACACATATAATAGAGTACTGGCCAGCCCGAGCTTGAGTTTGATTCAAAATTTATATTTTTAGTAACTCAATTGATTTAATTATACTTTGTTGACTTGAGTTAATATATAAAAATTAACATGATATAAGAAGAAATTTTTACATTATCCTGAACAATGTCTTTAAAATATCATACAATTGTAAATTTTATAATAAAATAGGAATTAAAAAGTTTTTCATATATATATTTTATGATTCTAATAATAAAATCCTATTTATAATCGACGTTTCAATAAACCGCCGATTATTCTTAAAGAGTATCGGTTTTAATGAAAGAGACTATATTGTAATAAATTAATTTAAAATTGACAATAAATTTTGGTATAAAACTGTATAGAAAGATATAATTATGCAACAAAAATAAAAAAAAAAAGAGAAAACAGAAACAGACTCTGATCTCGGAAAGGCGTGGTACCTCAATATTTGATTTAGTATTATAGTTTTATTATTAAATTAGACGATATATTATAGAGACTCGAGACAAACATCCACACACAGATATACATATATTACGTATAAGAGTATATATGTTAAATATTAATGCAATGATTACGATTTACATTGTTATAAATGATCGTGTATAAAGTTATCTAAGTGATTTTTAAGTTTTAAAAGAAATGAAGTTTGATCGAGAGATATGCCATTATGATTTTTTTTATGTAGTATGAAATACAATATTATATATATTGTTTTAATTATCAAAATAAGTAAGAAACAGAAGAAAAATGAAAAATTTAACATATTAACATGCGTTTCTTTAAGCTTTGTTACAGAATTGTTTTTTACATTATGCAAAATTTCTTATCAGTGAGACTTGCTGCAGTGATCAATCTGTAATTGATAAGAAAGAATGATTATTTATATATATATATTTCAAATTTAATCTTTTAAAACGCATTTGCTTATGTGCAAACTCATTCTGATTAGGCAGCGACACTTAGGTTAAAGGGATGTGTTTGTATTTCTTATAATCACTTTGTATTCTAAGATCATTTTCTATAGTATTTCTTACTGATGAATGATTTTCCTTACTTAGCGTACTTTGTTTTTATCTTTCTCTACACTTACAAAGCGATATACCAGATCGATATACATCGATTATACAGATGGAAGGCCAACATCATAAGTTATAGCTATGTAATAGGAACTTTGATTACTCTAAAAATCCGATCTTGGCATTTTTCGATCAGGAGTGTATTGAAATCGATCTTGAAAAAAAAATATAGCAAAACATGCGGCGATTTCATAGTGACATGAAACGTCAGTATTTAAATTATGATACATCGTTCGATCTGATTTCAATATCGCTCTCCAAATCTCTATAAGTTAAAAATATTTTTCAAAGAACTGATATAAGAGGATACAATAGTCCGCGTTGCAAAATACGTTTCGTACTTAATAATATTATTTACATATTACACAAACATGGACCATAGAGAATGCATACGGAGATTTTTCATGAACTTAGTGGCAATTGTTTAAACGAGTAGAGGACCATATCTTGCAGTTGACTTTATTTAATCACATCTCTCATATATATATATATATATAATTATGTGTAATTGCGCACAGAAAGTTTTTACTTATTTTTTAATTCGATCTGTTGTGTGTTCCCAGAACAGGACTTGCCTATCGAAGAGTAAATAGTAACATAAGCAAGAGAAAAGGTCGTGTATATTTTAATAAGATAATATTATTTACTGTATTCTTACTTTAATTAACTTTTACGGAACAAGTGGCAATGTATTTTGATCTCTTTTAGTCAGAAATGTCGCTTTTTATTTGGGGTGAGAAGTGAATTTGCTATATGGGTTGACTGGAGTAGAAACTTAATCGATTAAATTTATATTTAATCGATATGTGAATGTGTTTTTTTAACTGGCAGCTTTTATATGTTTTACTCATTGTTACCGTTTTTTTTCTTTTTTTTCATATAAGCTCAGTGTCTATTTGAAAGTAATTCTCAGAAATTAAAAACATAAAAGTAAATATAGAAGAAAGTAGCTTTATAATTCTTCTTAATAATATATCCATTTGCAAGTATGATTTTCAAAAACGATTCGTAGCAGTATTTCTTTCAAATGGATGGCTAGCCAATAGTAATTCCTTTATTGTTTTTTATTACTTATATCTTTCGTTAATATGTAAATTGTAATTTAGTAAAATCGTTTACATATTAAACTGGAGTTGTAACCACGACTATGCTGCATATGGATAAGCTTTTTGCAATACGTTGCTTATCAATAACTATCAAAAACAAAGTTTTTTATTTTGCATTTACAGCAATTTCAATAAATATAATATGTAATGCTTTCATAATACATATTTAATTATAATTACATGTATAATAAACAAGGTAATGTCTCGTGGTTACATATCGAATTATTTAATAATACATTGTTTCTAAAAAAATTTTACAATATTTTTGAAAGATACTCACATGAATTTGGTTCGGATCGTGTAGATTTTTTATTTTGTACGGAAATTTGAAAACAGGTAGAACGAGTATGAAATTGAGAAAAAGGAGCACCGACACTAATATTATTGACATTTACGCGTAATGATTTTAAAGTAAGCGAATTACATTTATAAGGAAAGATTATAAAAATATATATTTATCTATGTCTTCTGTGAAGATAGAAAATAGTACTCTCTCACTCTATATTGAATATCTGATATCGAAAATCGAGGCCCGATAAAAAGATACAAAATGCAGAAGTAGAATAAGGAAAAGAAAAAAAAAGGAACAACTTGCACTGTACACAATAACATACGATACGATCAATCGATTGACTCAGATTTGTTAAATATCTTTGTATATATTTACATGAAGACCATGAGAAATTGTTCAAGTTCCAGCAGCTACATTTTTGTAATAAGTACTCCCGTGAGAAGAGAGAAACTGTTTTGCTTGCAACTCGTTATCAATCCAGTTCTACATCTCAAAATTAAAGTTAAAATGCAAAAAATATTCTTAATATTTTCATAGAGACTAATCAGTTTTTTTTTTTCTACAGATACAGTACTTTGGTACAAGAATAGATGTTTAATATTTCTTTATTAACTTACTTTTTTTTTTGTTCATCTATATTAGAAATTATATTGCTAAATAACTGTATGTCTATAAATTATATACTTACTGACAAAACGAAACAATTACTTATGAATTATTCAATTTTATTTACTCTTT